TGAGATTTCCATGAAAGAATTTAGCCCTAATGTCATCAACTACCTAATACAATTGTGACAAATATCATTGACAATGCAATCATAATGTCCTAAGGAGGGATAAACACTCCCAAACTAATAATCATGGTTACCATAGAGTTGTTAGTGGGGAAAAATTACAATGAAAAAAATCACTTTTAGGAGTGAATGATAGTCTATAAATGGAAAAGTTTCTAGTAATGAATAGAGTAAGTTGCTCACAAACAAGCTTTCTGGGTATCCTTGGTGATGAGTCCAAGAGAAAAAAATACACATAAAATGGAAAAGAGAGCATTAAAAGGTACAAGGGTTTAAGTATCCTGAGGCCACATGCTATTCCCCAGTTCCCAACACATTCTGCTGAGAGATGGTGGAGCCAGGGAACATTCATGGGGTCTGAAACAGGAGCAAAGCATCCCCAGCTGTTTATTGCCTCTGAACAAATTACAACACCCACAGGTTTCAGTTTTCTTCCAGGGGAACATAAAACAAACCCTTCACTCTGCATAGTTTTTAAATTGCTGCTAGGGCTTAATCTGTCTCAAATATGTGTCTGGTTTCTCAAGATTCTCACACAAAGCTTGCTAAACTATTTAAGCCTTCTTCTCTGAGAATAATTGTAGAAATGTTGCAAGGTTCACATTCGTGAGTAAGAAAGTATGGGCTTGTGGCAGATCCATACACAAAATGGATCTTTCTAATTCATTTACAGAGTACATAATTATGGGGATATCTGTTTCTCTTCACATAATCCTTTTCACTCAACTGATAACATACTTTATGATAAAATTCCAAAGAGATTGCCTATAGAAAGAAAGTTCTGCATTGCTAAAACTGCAGCTTACATACCTTCTTTTGTGTTAATTTTTCCCCCAAACTGAAAGCAGCACATTTGTTGGTAATGTGTTTTCTATGCTTATGTCAAGACATGACAGTATATTTTTAACTTGTACATAATACTAGATGAATATCAGTGAAGAAGGCAAAGTTTACCTCCCAGAACAAGGTCAGAATCTTGGAAAAGTATAGTTCAAGTGTTACGCTGGTTGTGCCAATGGATTCTTTATCATTTTGCTTAAATTATCCTACTGACTATTTTCCTTTGACTCTATTTCATCCATGGATAATTTACATAAATTTAATAACCTATGAATACTTAATAAATTTCATAGGCATGACATTAATTTGTATAGCATATCACTTACTTTTAAAACTGAGTCCATACTCAAATGACACTTTTTGAGGTCTATTTTTGAGAAGGTGGTAGTCCAAAGATTATGTATTTTAACAATTATATAAGCAAGTGGTCATTGTACTATTTTGATAGAAATGTTAGTAGATTTGAAGCAATCATTAACAATATATTTGTATTTTGTGAATCATGAGGAATTAAAGACTTAAACTTCAGTGCCAATGGATATATATTGCCCATTTATAGTGGTATATTAGGATAATCAAGACTGGACTGAATTTTTTTTTTATAATAATGTAATTTCCTTAGCTTGTTTTCACAGTATCATTAATGGTTATTTTGTAAGTGGTTCTAGTAATCAATAAGTAAATTACTCATGCTTTCTTTAAAACAAAAGTTTTGTGAGATTTTGGCCAAAGAATGAGGGTTAGACATCAATCTTTGTGTTGTGTTTTTAATATCCACTATAAGGACACCACATGCAATAAATTGAATTGTAAAGTCTACAGCTAACAGTATGAAGGTACTGATTACCCTACTGTTTCTATGTTAGATGAGAGAGTTAAATGGCTGGTCATTTTATAAGGAGGATGAATGATTTTCAAACAAAATTTCCCAGTGAAGTCAGAAGAACTTCACACTGGAACTAGTAGTCTAGATACTAGAACAAGAAAAGGTTTAGTTTTAATAAATGTGCTTCACTTCATTTCACATGCCCTATCGAACACCATCTTCCTGAAAATATGACACAGTGGCTTGGTTCTGAATCAGTAAAGGCTCATTCTAGATGTCTATTTTATATTTTATTAAATCTAAATTATGGCAGTGGCCAAAAGTTATTGATTCAGAACTATTTCCAACTGTTCTAAGTAAATTATCTCTTAGTGCCTATTTTTTGTTCAGTCACTTACTGGAAGATGTGATTTTGTAGCAACCCCCACCCCACCAGAATAGTAAGAGTGGACCAAGGTCATTTACATATTTAATGCAATGGTTTGTGTTGCAGGCTGTATATTATTAGAAAAAAAACCACTAGGGTAGAAAAACCAACCCCCCTCATAAAATATGTGAAATGTATATACCTTCAGGCTTTGTTTGCTTCTTGAAGAGACTCATGCATGTCAGCCTCTATCACTGTCCTCTAACATAGATATGGTAACCATCTTTATAGCTCTGTATACATCTGAGTGGAAGTCCCATTGAGTGACACTCAGAAGGGGTTAAAAGATGTCTTTGGTGCATAGCAGTCTCTCCCTCATAATGAGAAAGTTACATGTATATTTAAAATACAATAGAATTTCTGAAGGGAGAACAGTTTGCAAAGTGTAGAGGCATCTTTAGTCAAGAACCTACAGGCTTGGGTGGGCTAACACATGCCTACAGCCTTTGTAATAATTATGGTGGAATGGTTTTATGAGGCTCCAGGAGACTCTCACAAATATCCTTCTATCTTTGGTTTTTATAGGTTCATCTGTTTGTTTCTTTTATTACAGTGAGAGCACTGCCTCATGTTAAGAATATTAGGTTACTATAAATTCTCTTACTGCTTTCTTAGCAGTTTTGACTTAGCTAAAAATTTTAAATATACTCAGAGGAGTATGCGAGAATAAAGCTCCTAAAAACGTACCATGAAATATTTTTACAGTATTATTCTCACTATGGTGAGTTGGGTTAAGGACTAACTAAAGAGGTACATTTCTCACACATTTCTTTTTGTGATTTTATTTTCAGAAAAAAATTGTCCCAAACTTATTCATGGTTTTCGGTTCTTTTTCTAGTAATACTCACTGTTAATGGTCAGAACCAAATGGTGAAGCTACTTTATGAAGGAACTTGTCTCCCACCAAAGAGACACAAGAGCAGACTCAAATTAGCAGAATCCAACTGGACTTGCTATCTGTGCTTCTCGCACACTGATAAAGCTGAGATGTGAATAAAGACCCCTAGGGCCTTTCCCCATAAGTCCCTTGTAGAAACTCGTGGTCTCTAAGCAACAGCTCAACTCAGTGAGCCAGGGAGAGGCATGCCCTAAAGGCCACACTAGGAACTGTGCTAGAACAGTCTCAGCTCAGAGTTGCTCTGATATATTTACTAATGGCATTTCTATAGCAGATGCCATGTGTTAAAGAAATTCAGAGGCATTAATCCTGAAAAGTGGGGTTCCCAGGAAGGCTGCATTCTCTCCTCAGAAGGACCCAGGCATTTGCTCTTCTGCTGTGTCAGCAAAATCAACATTGTAGAGTTTGGATAATTTTCTTTTTACCCCTGAAGGCTTATGTTAATTATTTTTCATGGCCACATTAACTCTTATGATTATTACCTTTTATGAGGTTTTTATACCTATCCAAGTGACTTGTGGAGTATAGGTAGTTGCAGTAAGTGCACATTTATCAAGGAGGAATGCATAACCGTTTTCCTCCTCCGGAAGGGAGTAGTCAATCTGCTCGAAAGCTATGGATAAGGATGAATGAAATCCTAACGGGTAGCCTTTTAGTAGACTAACTCAATAGAACATTTTGTTATCAAGGAAAAAGTCATGCTTTCCTTTTGCTTGACCTTGGCCCTCTATTATTTCTTGACAGATATCTGGTTTAGGCACATGACACCAGGTGAGTCAGGCAGAGTAATTTATATTTTCATTCCCTAAATTATGGGCAAACCTATTTATGTGTGCCTGAATTAGACAAACTTCTCTTCAAGTGGAATTTCCCATTTCACTTTGAACTTGGAAATTGGTCATATTCTAGAGCTGAAAAAATGTACAAGCAAAGCATTCTCCTGTCATCTCAACCAATCAAGTTCAGTAAAAGAAAAACTCAAGCCAAGCAAGTTCTGATTCCATACCAAATGCCAAGCCACTGATGACCTTTGCAAAAATTCATCTGCGAAATTTAACATTAACGTTTACTTTCTTGTATCGTTTGTCCTTCTCATAACTGCAAGATAGCTAGTTTCATTTTAAAGGTAGCTTTGTGTCTTTCTCAAATGTTTGGGACTCTCCTTTTGGAGTTGCAGATTACACCAATTTCTCAAGTAGTTCAGATGGATGGCCAAGGAGAGAAATAGTGAAGCATAAGTAACGCCAACCAGACAGACAGCATAATGGACATGCAGGACAGCTGGGCTGGTAATCTTGTTTCCAAAACACTTCCTTCTTGTGTTTCCTTCTTGTGTTTCTGCTCACAATTCTCATAGGGTCAGGGTGGGCTACAGAGATACTGCTACTAGTAGGGAGCCTTTTTCATTTTCTAACAGGGTAGACTTTCATTTTCTAACAGCACTATTTTAAAAATAGCTATTCAACATAATTTTAATTTTAATGCAACAATTAGTTTTCAGTAATTTAAGTGACCATATCCTGTTACCCTCAATACATTTGATGTATCCTAATCTATAGACAGAGCAGTCTCTCTCTCTCTCTCTCTCTCTCTCTCTCTCTCTCTCTCTCTCTCTCTCTCTCTCTCCAGGGCCCTTCTTAATGAAGTATTCTAATTTTACATCCCCTTAATTGTCACTGGGCTTCTTTACATAGAGAATTAAGATGCCATATGTAGAGCTTACTTGATCTGTTTCTGTCAAAACTGAAAAAGCCACAGAGCTTACAGTGGGTCATCCTTATGTTTAAAGACAGGCCCTGTGTCCAAACAGGAGCACACAGCCCTAAGGACAAGGTTGGTGACCCCCCGACTCAGGCACAAACTAGAGTGAGTGAATTTCCCAGTGCCAAGGCTTCTGCTATTGTCAGACACAAAGAATTTTTCTTATTTAAATGAGTATTCATATAATTGGATTCTTTTTTTTTTTTGTAAAACACAGATTTCCCCCATAGAAATTCAATTAATAAAGGACTTAACCACTGAATCAAGGAAACAGAACTCCAGTTTTTAACCTTCCAGTTGGGACTAGTCCTTGCCAATGTTAATTTGTACTGCAATTGGTCTTCCAGGAGGCACAGGGCGAAATGACCCCATGGCAGGTCCAGGGCAGACTGTGTTTGCTGGTCAGTGGTGGCCTCTGTGTGTCATTGAATGAGGCTGGAACTATAGCTGAATCCATAGCTGCTAGACCGTGACAATGGTGGCTGAGCCTCTTCGCTCTGTTCTGGAGCATAGCTGGGAAATGTCTGTGCCCGGGACATCTTTGAGGAGCCAAACCCATGCCCTGGAGAAGAGGAAAGGAAAGCTGTAGTAAGAAACACCTCAGAAGAAGCAAAGAGCATCTGTAGAAAACAGAATAAACAAATCTAACCAAAGGCTTCAAACCCACAACATCAAAGATGGCAAGAATCTGGGCTTTGATATCTTGATTGTTTTCTTTAACCCAATACTGGGAATTGAGTGTAGGGCCTCTCACATGCTAGTCAAGGTATCTATCCCAGCTCTTTTTTACTCTTTGAGACTGGGTCTTAGTATGTTTCCAAGGCAGATCTTGAACTTCTGATCCTCTTCCCTCACTCTCCCAATTAGCTTTATTACAGTCTGTGTATGACCATGTTAGGCTTTATTTGTTGATCTTTGAGTTAAAAACATTTTCAGGCATCAGTATTTTAACCAACTATATCTTTCTTAGAATTCTGGATGTCTAGAGAGCTAGGCTAATTTTTAGGACTCTCAACCTTCCCCTCTTCAACCTTGGACATAAAAGCAGAAAATCCTTTCTCTTGAAAGATATTTTTGACAGAAAGCCTTTTACTTTCTCCTCCCTGAGACTCTCTGCAAACAAAAGCTAATGAAATGCTTTATTTAAGCCATCTGTGAACAGACAATTTAGTTTTTTACCCTCATCGGTAACAATTACCAGAAAGGTTTTACAATAATAGGTTATAGAGGGTTCTAGTTTCTCCCAGGAACTTTGTGAGACAATGTAACTGATGAATATCTTGGTTCACCAAGGTGATATGCTTTGATTCTTACACAAAATATATTCCAAGAAAATTCTGCACAAGAAAATTCTGCACATGTGTTTGGCTGTTTAGCTGATAACATGTGATACAAAATTGTCTAATGGAAAGAAAAACATGAGCGATTGCTTAAAATGGGTCAGGATGTTCAGTGTGTGTGTGTGTGTGTGTGTGTGTGTGTGCACATTTTAGAAACACTTGCAATAGCTGTCTCACTTTTTATAACCAGTAATTTTTGTGGTTGAGGGTGGTTTGTACCTGGTGGAAGGAAGGGTTTAGCAAGACAGGAGAAAAATAGACCCTGTATGTGTTGCCTTTTCAGAGTTTATATTGTACTCAAGAGAAGAAATGCAGTTAATTTGATTTGTGTTTTAGCTGGTCTCTTGGGAGAAGAATCCAGAGAACACTATCTGTTAATGTAGAAACATAGGACATCCACTGTCATATTCTCTCTGTTGCCCTGTCCTCTGCAATGTCATAGGCTCAAAGCCAGTTTCACTGCCACATGCTTGATGACTCCAGAAATATCCTTGCAGTGCTTGAGATCCAGGGAGAAACCCCATAGGAATTGTGTAATTAAAGGCTAATTAAAACTGGTAGAACTGCTTAAAAAAAAAAGTGAAAGAGAAATCTTGCTTTCTAGCAAGAAATTGTTTTAACTTTGCTGGTCTGATTCTCTTGCTGATCAGGGACTGGAAGAACGAGAGGCTAGTTGCTTGTGTATCTCAGAGGAGGAAGAGTGGGGAACCACTCCTGTCCTTCTTGGAGTATCTCTTCTATTAGGTACATTTGAGCTTTTCAACTTTTTTCTTCTACAGTTCTTCCCTATAACTGAATCTATGCAATGACGTGATACACTAAATTGATATTCATAAATAGATAATAAAATGGTCTGGAAGTTGAATTGTGGACAGTTACAAAGTCCTTTACTCTTATTTTCTTCCCTTAGTGTTTTCATGCTTTGGAAGAGAGGTCATTGAACTTGGTTTTATGCATCTGCCTCACTTGCATTAGCTACTTTATGTGGGTCTGTACATTGATTCTTCATTAAAATCATCTGAAAATTTCAACTGCATGCATCTGCTTTCTCCTCTGATATAAAAAGGAAACATGAAAATGAAGGAGAGAAAACAATAAAAGGCGGGGGGGAGGGGGAAAGTTGGAGGCTGATTAGGAGATAGATGAAGGCTGTGTTCAGGAGATTTAGAGAGGTTGTGGAAAGGGGTAGAGAGAAGTTAGAAGATAGAAGTTAAGGGGGTGTTAAAAGGGTAGAGTTGGGAATCTCGGGAATGGCAATACCAGATATGCATGCTGACTCTGCTACTTTCTTGTTTGTAGTTAACTTTAAGGGATATAGCTTTGATCTGGGTTTCTTGGTTTCTTGATCTGAAACTGGATCTGAAATCAGATGATAACAAAGGCACTAACTTGTATATATTGAGATTTTAAATGTTAGTCGGTGAATTAGCTTGTGCCAAATGCTGTCATCTAAATCAATCAACCAGTAAATAAATGTGATTTCATGGTAGTCTCCAAGAGTCCCACTATCCGGAGGGGGGGGGGACTTTTCTATTGGTTGTATGAGTACTAACTAAATCAACATGTAGGAAGGTATCTGAGACAGTAGGTGTGTCCTAAATGTTAACTAGAGCAGTAAGTGAAGGCCTATAAGGAGGTGGAGGTAGCATCTTGCCATGATATTGATGTTTTTTTTTTTTTTTTTTTTTTTTTTTTTTTAGATTTTTGTTTCTTTATCATTGACTAATGAGAATTCATAGTTCTTTTAACTAGGAACATTAAGTCTATTAAGAACATGCTCTTGGGGGATAGAGAGATGTTTTGTGGTTAAGAGTCCAGGGGACTTCAGTTCTGTTCCCATAACTCATGCCAGAGACCTTAAAATTGCTTGTGAATTCAGTTCCAAAGGACCTGATGATCTCTTCAGGCTTCCACTGGCAACTGTACTCATGACAACATATCTGCCTGCCCTCTCCACATATATACACAATTAAAACTAAATTAGATATTAAAAAGAATACACTCTTGCCTTGGTCTAATGAAATTGATATTAAAAATACTTGAACTATATCTTTAATCCATATTATTAGTGAGCTGAAAGTGAAGGCTTAAGTTGATAATACTTTTCCTACGAACATAGGATTTTCCTTTTAGTTTCTATATTATTGAGCATGAAAAGTGGATAATACAATGGACACCTACCAACGTTCTATTTAAAAAGTCTCCAGGAAAGAGCATGTCTGGAGAGGAGGGCCCTGATTTTACAGAGCTGATCAGTTGTCTTGAGAAAGATGGTCAGGCAAGGAGAGCAAACTACAAATAACAAGTGAATGGTGGCCTCTACAAAATGCTGAGCAGAACCAGAGAAGAGGTGGGTGATAAAATTACATATCACTGCAGCACCCCAAACTGCTTCCCCTTCACAGTATGAACAGGGTGCATCTCACTACTACAAAGGGCATCAGAAATAAATTGAACTTTTCTCTATACTTTTGTGGTCTCATTGTCCCACATGGGGATATCATATTCTCTATAGATATTATGGAAATTAAGCAAATTGACACATATGATTGTTGAAAGCCGGCAGAACCTGAGGGCATGTCCTTAATGTTAGTTTTCTTTTCCTATACAGAGTGGGCTCACACTCTTATCATTCTCTGTCCAGAATCCACATTCCCTTACCATCTTAGTGTGCTGCCTCTCACAATGGCACGTTTTGAATATTACTCTCTTTCAAGGTCACCAGTAATTTTTTTTTCATCTCCTCTGTGAATCAAATCTGGTTTACGTGGAAATTAATTTATGACTTTATTTTACTTCAACTATTTCTTTACTTCAGACAGTTCACAAATTATTTGCTAATCAACAGAACAACATACCTCAATCAGAACTGAACATATGAAGGCTGTTTGATAAAGACAGACATTAAATGAGAACAAAGAGAGAAATAATTAATCCCCTTTTCAGCATTCATTGGAATCATGCCCTTAGGCAGCGTTGATGAAAGCAAAAACAAAACAAAACAAAACAAAACCAAAGGAACAAAAATAAACTGGGAGGCTTAGAGGCTTAAATTAAAAAATCAGTGGAATAGACCTGTTCATCCTGTTTTCATCCTATTTATGGGGGTCTAGTGAAATGCTATATCACTTTCCCACAGTTGGCCATAATAAGGTGAATACACACTCAGAGCATCTGTACAGGGCTACAAATGAAAAGCAACAGATCTGCTAACAGTGATAAGTCTATTTAAAAATCCTCTTGAAATTTTATTTTCCCTCTAGCTGTAGTCACATCTGCTTTAGTAGAAAATGATATTTTGTTTTAACGTTGCATGTTTCTACAGTGTTGATGACTATATTTACCCAATAGGTTCAAGTACACTCTGACATGGTAATTGTATGTGCACCTACCAAACCTAATCTGTATAGTTTTAATCTAGGAGGAAGATAATAAGTTGAGTGTAGAGTCATTTAGTGAATTTGCTTTATTCTAACAAAATTATTCTAGGAACTGAAGAACATCACATAACAATAAAGACACAATGAATGCCTGCTTTAAAAGGAAATTTCCCTGCTGGATCCCCTAATGCACAAACTAGCAGTGAACTGGAAAGAGTGCAGATGTAGTAGAAAATGGCAGCCAAGCTGGAGTGTTAGAGCCAGAATTCTTACATAGAGAAAAAGAAGGCAAGGAGAGGGAAGGAAGAAGGCAGACTACAATCCCTCTTCTCCCAGTAATTAAGAAATATGTTACCAGCAGTTTTTGCTGAACTCTCCCCCACCTTGACTGACATTTGGTTTCCTACTTTTATTGACTAACTTTATTTTTTTGATGTACATTCTAAAGGAAATTGTTTTCATGCAAGCCAGATGGATTCCCAAAACATAAAACTTGGACACTAGTTGGTGAAAGGAAGTAACTGTGATAAAAAACACTTAATAGGTATGTGCTTAAAAGATATGTTAGAATCTGGAGAAGTTGAAAGGGTATATAATTTTTCTTATTTTACATATTGATCCCAGTTCCCTCCCTCCCATCCCAACTGCCCCCCCCACCATCAAAATCTGTCAATTCATTTGGAGTAGGGTCTAGGCCCTCCCTCATGCCTCTAGGCTAAGGGAATATCCCTGCATGGGGAATGTTCTCCCAAAATCCTTTCGTGCACCAGGGTGTTGTTCCTTTAAATAATAAAACAACATAAAAGTTAGTATTACAGCGTATGGATCAGGAAAGTTCTCTG